TGTCAAATTTGGGTCATTAGGATCAATTGAAGTGTTGAGTTCATCTCTTTCTCTGTGAGGGGGCACTCGTATTCAGGCACAACAATGCCAGTTTCAGACTCATTGCCATTGTAGTCAACCGCAGTTTCCCAATCAATTTCTGGCTCTTGAAGTGATCATTACTGATGGTAATGGTTGGTATTAACATTCAAGGTGTTGAACTCTTCTTCTCTGTCGACCAATTAAACATTTATGTAGTCCTTGTGTTGTGGTTGTTTGTTTTTTTAACCAGGAAGCATACTGTATTTTTCGCACTATAAGGCGCACCTGATTATAAGGTGCACCATTAATGAATGCCTCTATTCGCGTCTATTTTCCAACATATGGCGCACCAGATAATAAAGCGCATTAAACCAAACAAAACAGTCAATAACTCTGCGAGGCTACAGTAGCTGCAGTGCTTTGATTTTAAGTGAGCCTTATAGTGCAATAAATACGGTATTGTAGAAAAAACACTTGCTGCAAGTGTCTCAGAATGGACATTGGTGTTGCTTAGCATCTGTCCAGTGTTCCACATCTGTGCCACTGTGGAAGTGCTACGCTGTGACCACCATAAGCTCTCCTAAAAAATTGAACTTTCAACAAGTTTTTACGCGATTTTTGTATCCTTGCTCTTACCTTTACGTTGTTTTAGATACTTTTTAGTTGACTGAGAATTTAATCACCAGACGAAGAAACTCAGACTGAGTAAAGCACAGATCATACTGCGGCTCCTCATTTTCAGACGCCAACTCCTTACAAGACCCAGAAGAGTGGGTATTTGAAATGGCTTTGTGCGTTAACTGCAAAGATAAAAACTCACGGTTGGAAGAAAAGCTTCGCCGTCTGCAGAATGACCTCCGTTAAAAGGATAGGCAGCTGGAGGGCTTCATATCCATGGCATCAGCGCAAGCAAAACACATTTCTCTGATACAGGCTTCCATGATTACTGGCCTTTCGCCTTCGGCTTTGGCACCACAGCTGGTTTCAGCCTCCGCTGCCACTCTGCCCTGGATGGCCTCCTTGCACTCTCCCAACGGGCTGGCTGAGGACCCAACAAGGGGTTTGGCCTGCTTGCCCGTGCCGCGCCACAGTGCAATGCCGGCAAGCTGTAACTCCACTCCTCTGTCCGCGGATCACGACAGTCAGGGCCTGAGGCCGTCGGGTGTTCCTGACACTGGTATGGAAGTGACGCTCCCAGCGCACCTTGCGCACAGCTCTACCCCGAAGCCGCAGATGCAGCCAACCTGGTCCGAAGTGGTGCATCCCGGCCGGAGGTCTTTCGCAGCAGGGAGAGCTCCCTCACCACCACGGCTCTCCCTCTCTAACCACTTCTTGGCCCTGAGGGATAAGGCTGCCGTGGATCCTGTCACTGCTTCAGCTCCATCCTCTCTACCAGACCCAAACCCAGCGAAGGGGGCTCCCTCCTTCACTGTGGCGGCTCAACGGGTGAACAGCACAGACCAGGCTGTGCGGCCCGCCTTGACCAGGATGCTGTGCCACAGGCTGCTCAGGGATGCCGTCTCCAGGCGCTTGGAGGGGCTTCCCAGGGCCTCCAACACCCTCACTCCACCTGCGCCATCTGCGCCGGCCCACCACCATCAACAACTGCCATCCTCAGCGCAGGTGGAGTGCTCAATGTCTGCAGGCTCCAGCACTCGCACATCTCCTCCTCCTCTCTTCCCCCCAACCACACTCATCATTGGAGATTCAATAACCAGGTACATCAGATTTTTCAATGCCATAACTCACTGTTTTCCCGGCGCCACCGCTCCTGTCACCCTGGACAAACTTCTCCATTTACTCCCCTCTCTCCCCTTCTCTGTCTCTAAGATTGTGCTCCATGTCGGCTCAAACTACACTTCCCATAGGCAGTCCGAAATCACAAAGAGTGATTTTAACTTGCTTTTTGACGTTTTAAAGGACAATGGAAAGTCAATTTTTATCTTTGGCCCGATCCCCACTCTCAATCATGGAGCAGAACGTTTTAGCAGAATTCTCAGCCTCCATACCTGGCTCAAGTCAACATGCCCCACCCACAACTTCTGTTTTATTGACAATTTTCATCTGTTTTGGGACCGAGCTTCACTTTTCACATATGATGGAATCAGTGGCGGCTGCTGGTCTTTCAAGGAGGGGAAGCTCATTTTTCTGGCCTACATCATAATTGGGTTTTGTTTATTTGTATGTAACAGAAAAGAGTCGCCAAACACAACGGCAGTCGTTTTTAACAAAGACGAAAGTCGCTGAGGATCGGTAAAGTCTCTGGAGCAGTTAAGAACAACGGAATGAATAACTTGGAAAATGCTTTGGTAGATGTTTTATTCTTCAAGATCGCTGATTCGCTTGTTTAGCTGTCAATCAAAAAAGGATTTCGCCTCAGACAGCTCATCCAATCATGGATGCAGAAGCTCGGAGTCCGGGAGAACGTCAGGACCGCCCTCTCGCCATAGAACTCCAGAGAAGCTCAGCGTCTGATGGGCGTGACAAAGCCCAGCATTTATCCAATGAGCTTCTAGTTTCGCTGCTGGAACAACCCACTTTGAGCTTCCACACTGAAGTCAGCAGAAGCCAAGCGTCCGGCTGTGTAAAGTGCTGAGGCGCTGCAAGGATGAATGAGAACAAAGTTGTGCAGAATCAGCTTCTTATCACAGTGTGATAAGAAGCTGATTCTGAACAAAAGATGAAGGCTTTCTAGTGCGTATTTAGTTAATGAAATGTACACACAGCAGTACGTATTTTACCACTTTTTCTTTTTTTGGGGGGGTGACATTTTAAGGGAAGCTGAGCTTCCCTTGCAGTCTTAGAGCAATCGCCACTGGATGGAATCCACCCCAACAGGCGGGGTAGCCGAATGCTCTCTTGCAACATCCAGTACTTGATCCACTCCTCACCTTTTTGACGGTCTGCATTCAGCAGCCCACTTTCTCCCACACAGGCCATTCCCCTACCTCCACACAATAACCTCTGGTCATCTCAAAGCACTCTCATCAGTCCCGCCCACTCACCTGCCAACCCACACCTTGCTCTGCCCCCTCACTTCAGTACCATCAGTGAATCTTTAATCCCAGTACACACCACATCCTTACGTCCTCCCCGCCCTCCTGCCAGAAATAGTACCCCCTCCAATCTCATATACATTCCCCTGCTTCCTTGGCTACCCCGCCCTGCTATTGACAGCAAACCTGCAAACTTTGCACTTTTAAACATCAGATCCCTCAACAACAAAACATTGCCACAATTTTATTTCACAAAACAGCCTAGACTTTTTTATTTTAATTGAAACTTGGCTGACTCTAGAAAATTATATTGCTCTCATTGAAGCTACACCCCCGAACCTAATCACTTCCATCAGCCCAGGCAGTCAGGCCAGGGGTGGGGGGGTGGGGCTGTCAAATACAAAAAATATTTTAAAATGCACCCCCATCACCTTCAGCACTTTTAATTCTTTTGAGCACCTTGCTTTTATTGTTAAATTGAAGAATCCTGTTTTAATCATAATCAGGAGTTTTCAGAGTTTCTATCCTTTTTATTTGTAAATATGACAAAATTCTTATTTTGGATGATTTTAATGTACATGTCTGCGGTTGGGCACAACATTTTATCCATTATTAATAGCCCTCTAGTTGAGGGAGTATTTCCCTCTGCTTTCAAACACGCTGTTGTCCAACCCCTTTTAAAGAAGCAAAACCTTGACCCCTCTGATTTTAACAATTTTAGACCAATTTCAAAACTTCCATTTTTATCCAACTTTTAGAGAAGGTGGTTTCTAAACAGCTTTTATGTTTTTTGTCTGAAAACAACCTCTTTGAAAAATTTCAGTCTAGTTTTAGAGCAGGTCACAGCACTGAGACTGCCCTCCTCTGTGTGACCAATGACCTTCTTTTAGCAGCAGATAGAGGGGAGGGCTCAATTTTAATTCTTTTAGATCTCAGTGCAGCTTTTGATACAGTTGATCATGCTACTTTAATTGAACATCTTAAAAACTGGGTGGGTATCAGGGGCACTGCACTTAGCTGGTTTCAGTCGTATCTTTTAGAGCGAACCTTTGGGGTCACCAGAGGCAATCACACCTCCTCTACCCCTGTGGTGTACCACAAGGTTTAGTTTTAGGTCCAATTTTATTTTCTATCTACATGCTGCTCCTCGGCCAATTAATTCAGCGCCACAAAGTCTCCTTTCACTGCTATGCAGACGACACACAGTCCTGTTTCCTTCACCTGCGTTCTATTGCAAAGATTAAACAAATACTCATCCCAACAGATCTGGAAAAAAAAAATCCACGCTTTCATTTTCTCAAGACTGGATGACTGTACCTCTCTCCTACCTGGTCTAAATACGAAATCACTCTCCCACCTCCGAGTTAAGAATGCAGCAGCTAGGCTTTTAACTGGTTTTAGTAGACACCATCACATCACCTTAATTTTAGCCTCCCTTCACTGGCTTCCTGTCATTCCTATCAATTTTGGAATTGATTTTAATAATTACTTTTAAAGCACTCAAGGGACTTGCTCTAAGCTACATTTCAGAGCTTTTAATACCATATGAGCCAACTCGCAACCTCAGATCCTCTGGCGAAGGCCTCCTGGTTGTTCCAAAGTAGAGGCTCAAAACTAAAGGTGATAGAGCTTTCTCCATCAGAGCTCCTCGACTTTGGAACGACCTGCCAGAGGAGATTAGGTGTGCAGAGACAGTTGCTTCTTTTAAGTCAAATTTAAGAACTTACTTTTACAGACTTGCTTTTACGTGATGCCGTCTTTTAATTTTTATCTCTATCTTTTATCTGTCATCTCGTCTCTTTTACCTCTATCTTATTTCGGCTTTACTGTCTTTTTAGCTTTTGTTTTACTTGTACTCTTTTCTTAATTAACCTTTTAGGCCTTTTATTGTTTTATCTCTTGCTCATTTCTGTTGCTCTATTTTATCATTACTTTTATTATCAGGATTACCTGTAATTATTTCATTATCATTGTTGACATTGCCTTTTATATTTAGTATCCTGTTTCCGCTTTGTCCTCCCTTTTAATTGCATTTTCCTTTTTTTCTTAACTATTTTATGTTTTTGTTTTGGTCCTCATGGTCACATTTTATGTTGCATGGTTCTTGTATTGTCTGGGTTCCTTATGACATGAAAATGGCCTTCAATTCCATTTTTACCGAGCTTTTTGTTTTTATTTGTCTTTTTCCATGTGCTATACGACTACATGTCAAAGCACTTCGTAAACATCTGTTTTTTTAAAAGTGCTATACAAATAAAGTTATTATGATTATTATCAGACTTCAGTTTCCTTCAGTGCAGATTAGATGGTGGTTCAAGCCATCAGTGAAGATCTCAAAGTCTTTTTTGATTCTTGAAAGAAATGTGTGGACTAATGGACACACTAATGGTCATCTGTTCACGAGATGTCCAGGATGTCATTTTCTTCTAGAGAGTGTAGAGTGTTGTAACATTTTGTTGACACAGAGATCCACACATCTCACCATAACGGTTCTATCCTGTAGAGGGGCACAACAACAACAACAAAAAATTGCATTACCATGAAGGAAAACATAATATTTTCCCAATACATGAACGAACATGATATTTTGCCAGCATGTGAACGATTGATTGTACCTTTGATTGTGGACACTTTTTACTGAAATGAAACTTCCCAGATCGTTGCCACATACAGTGAACATAAAACGGGCAATGTCCACATTTTCCATTCCCTGGTCAGCTCGTACTCTGAAATCAGTTATTATGGAATAATGAGAACAATTCATTTTTCTTTGTGAAACTTTGAATGTTTATAACATGTTGGGTGTTGTATTTGTCATTGGATAGAGTGGCCATCTTGTAACCGGAGGGTTACCCATTTAATCCCTGTGCTTTATCAAACTCATGTTGAGGTGTCCTTTAGCAAGACACTGAACCCCTAACTGCTCAAAAAAACTAGTAAAATAAACAAGATAACTAGTTTATTAAAACTTTTAGGCAACTGCCAAAATTTAACCACTTTTTCGGTCTGTCAGCATTGGGATCCTCTGCCTCCTCATAAAGGTGGTAATGAATGGTTAATAATAGCTTCATGACCATACACATAGCCAGTACAGAGTAAATCTAATAATAGTCAATTGACCTTTCTGGAAAAGCCAACAATTCCTCCAAATATGATAATGTTGTATCTGGGAAGTAAACATATGACTTATATTTAAACTACAGTTTACTGTCATCTAGGATTTCGGCACTATACAGTCTACAAACAATATAATTCTGTTTCAGAGGATCAAGAAAAGTTAAAAAGTGCAAAAGAAAAATAAAAAATATAAAAATTTGTACTTAAACTATGTATTTCACATGTAAAATGAAATACCACATCACCTTTACCTCTATGACAGATGGTAATCGGAGAAGTGGTTGACGATTGAATTATCAGATTAAATTAAAAATAAATAAACCGGCTGCATATGAAATACAGTCGTTAGCAAAAAAATGGACCTTACAATATTGGATCGGTAGAATAATATTATTGATGTAAAGTGTAAATAGCAGTGGAACAAGGACAGACCCCTGTGGCACCCTGTTTATGATAGTAAGTGAACTAGATTGAAAACCATCAGTACAAACAGTCTGAGTTCTGGCAGAGGGGTAAGAATGGAACCAGTTAAGTGAAGAGGTATCTAGACCTCTGGACTGTAATTTGTGAAGTAAGGTTTTATGATCGACAGTATCAAATGCTTTGGAGAGGTCAATGAAAAGAGCAGCACAAAACTGTTTACTATCTAGAAAGGAGACTATGTCATTTAAGACTGAAACTGTGGCTGTGACTATGCTGTGACCAGGGCGAAAACCAGACTGTTGTGGCGAAAGTATGTTTGATGAATCGATAAGACGAGATTAAAGATGAACCAATGATTCCAGGATTTTTGCTGAAAAGGGAAGTTTGGAAATTGGACGGTGGTCATTGAGGTCAGAGATATCACCATTTTTATGTAGGGGAGTTACAGATGCATTTTTCCAGGAAGTTGGGATGATGCCAGTTGCAAAGGTTTGGTTAAAAATGTGAGCTGACTGATGAAATAAGCACTTTGTGCTTATTTGGTATAACTAGTAGCAGTTGGCAACAGTGTGTTTGACCCTAACTTAATTTTACGCTGGAATATTCCTCTAACGTCGCAAAAAAACGTAAAATTTTTGTACTTAAATCAATGGAGTCAATGGGACAACTCCCCCCATAAACACACACACACACACACACACACACACACACACACACACACACACACACACACACACACACACACACACATTGTTGTTTTTTTCTTGTATAAATAAATACTTATAAAGGATTGTTTGTTGTAAGTGTGCTCCTTGTATATAATTTAATAGTGGTATTAATAGTATTCATTATTTGAAATCTCTGAAGAATCTCATCATATTATACAAACCCTCAGCAGTTGCCACAGCAGCCGTTTAGTAATAGCTTTACTCTTTTATCAAACTCTTTTTTATAGAAATAGTAATAATTATAATAATGATAATTACTTTTATTTATAAAGCACTTTAAAAAAACAGACATAAACAAAGTACTTTGACCAAAAGTGAAAGAGCACAAGAGCTTTAGCACAAAAATGAAAACAAGAAGTACAAATCAAGGCCTCTGAAATTGAAGACCATTTTCATATCTCATAAGAAACCCAGGCAGTACAAGAACCATGCAACATTAAATGAGACCATGAGGACCAGAATAAAAGCTGAAGACATAGAATCAGTAAGAAAAAGAAAATTCAATAAGAAAAGAGAGTTGAAGGCAGAAAACAAGATAGCAAATATAAAAAGTTAAGTTAATAATGATAGTAACATAAAAATAAAACAGTAATGATGATATAGCTATGATAAGATAGAATAACATGAATGAAAAAAACAAAAAACAAAACATTAAAAGCCTAAAAGGTTACTTAATAAAAGTGTAACAAAAGCTGTCTCTGCACACCTTATCTCCTCTGGCAGGTCATTCCAAGTCAAGGAGCTCTGATAGAGAAAGCTCTATCGCCTTTAGTTTTGAGCCTCGACTTTGGAACGACCAGGAAGATTTGAGGCTGCAAGCTGGCTCTTAAGGTATTAAAAGCTCTGAAATGTAGCTTAGTGCAAGTCCCTTGAATGCTTTAAAAGTAATCAATAAAATCGTATAAAATCAATTCTAAAACTGAGAGGAAGCCAGTGAAGGAAGGCTAAAATTGGGCTGATGTAATGCCGTCAACTAAAACCAGTTAAAAGCCTAGCTGCTGCATTCTGAACTAGTTGAAGGTGGGAGAGTAATTTCTTATTTAGACCAGGTAGGAGAGAGTGACAGTCGTTGAAAATAAAAGCATGGATTGTCTTTGGTGGGGTGAGTATTTGGTTTGATGATTACTAAATGTTGGCCGAGACAGGACTGTATGAGGGGGGTATTTTGTATATTACAGAGAATTATTTCAGATTTTGAATAATTTAGTTGAAGGAAATTTTCTGCCATCCAATGATTAATGTCACTAAGACAGTCCATGACAGCAGCTAGGCCACTTGGGTCCTCAGGTCTCAAAGGAAGTATATCTATGTGTCATCTACATAGCAGTGAATGGACACTTGGTGGCACTGAATTAATTGCCTGAGGGGCAGCATGTAGATGCGATACACCACGGGTGATAGCTGAAGTAGAGGAGGTGTGATTGCCTATAGTGACCGCAAGGGTTTGTGTCATGTCTCTGGTTTAGTTAAATTAATTTATTTACCCTTCCTCATGTTCCTTGTTATGTCTTTACTGTTTTGTTTTGAAACGTACCTGTGTCTCTTGTTTCAGGTCTCTTGACTTCCTGCCCTTGTGTGCTCTGCTCCCTCAGAGGAAACACTGGGGGTCCTAAAAATTATAAAAGGATAAGAACAAGTAAAAACTTAAATATGAGTAAAACACAGACCATCTGAGTGACAATAAATACAAATAAAATATAAAATTAGAAACCTAGGCTACCTAGAATAAATGGAGATAAAAATACATCAATCAAAAGTTAAACTAAAAAGGTGTGTCTTGAGCCTGCTCTCAAAAAACACGAATGCTCTCTGCAGCCCTGAGATCCGCCAACAGGCTGAAATATAACAAGAGAAATATAATTGTCTTGAGTCAGCCAAGTTTTAGTAATAAAAAAGTCCAGGCTGTTTGAGGAATAAAATTATGACATAAAAATGTTTTGATGTTGATTGATCAGATGTTTAAAAGTCCAAAGTTTGCAGGTTTACTGTTAAAAGCAGGGCACGGTAGCCGAGGAAGCAGGGAAATGTGGATAAGATTGAAGGGGGGGTTCATTTTTCGACAGGAGAGGGGTAAGGACGTGAGGATGAGATGTGGACTGGAATTAACAATTCACTGATGGTAGTGATGTGCAGATTGATACTGAAATATCAATACTTTTGATGCCAGATCTGTTTGCTCTAAAATCGATTCTCAAATCAAAATATCTATATCTTTGATCCTTAAATCTGAGGTAATGTATATCATTAACAAGAAAACAGTGGAGAGAAACAAAACTGTTAAGATCTTGGGCTTTATTTTCGTGCCTCGCCGGAGACGTGCCACAGGCGCAGTGTAAGTCAGGTCCACCGCGCCGACAAGGTGTTCCCAAGCACAATTTGTTATTTTGGTGAGCGGCGCAGCCCGGCGTAAGTATCCCCCCTCCCTAACTCAGCTCCTTCCAGTGGCGTAAGTTGTGGGGAGGGAGCAGAGAGGGCGTGGAGTGGGTTTAACCCAGCCGAGACCTGTATTGACCAATAACATTAGCTCCTCTCCTCGCCTTTAAATCCGCCACTGGCGAGGCGTATTACTATTTTTGTGGAGTTGTCAAAGAGATCAAGAGATGTCTGAAGACAGTAATGCCACACAATGGCGACAGAAGGCAGCCCCTCAATAAGTGTCACTGTAAGCGCTGCAGAGGGCATCCTTCACACGTCAACAGATTTGACACTGCTGTCACTCCCACTTCCACTGCTATTCCACCTTCCTCTCCGCAACAAATCTCCACTACAACTTCTCCCCTTCCTCCTCCATCTTGTTCAAATGTCTCAACCACTTCAACTGCCTCCCTCCTAGAACACCAGTCCTTGTCTGTCACCAAAACAGGGGTGAGGATGTTTCTGGGACATTAATGAGCAGTACAGGGGCTCCACAAGGGACAGTGCTGGCGCCATTCCTGTTCACACTGTACACGTCAGGCTTAAAATACAGCACTGAGTCCTGCCACATCCAGAAATACTCAGATGACACAGCTATTGTGGCATGTATCAGAAATGGACAAGAAGCTGAGTACAGAGATCTAATAAGAGCCTTCAGTGACTGGAGTCACAAAAACTGCCTCCTCCTCAACACCTCAAAGACAACGGAGATGGTCATAGACTTCCGTAGATCCAAACCCCCTCTTCAGCCAGTGAACACCTGTGGAGTGGACATCAAGGTGGTGACATCATATAAATACCTAGGGGTACAGCTGGATAATAAATTGGATTGGTCTAAGGATATAGACTACATCTACAGCCCCTTTTTTGCCTGAGAAGACTCAGATAAATAGACATCTGTAGTAAGACGCTGCAGATGTTTTATCAGTCTTTGGTGGCAAGTGTGCTGTTCTACGCTGCAGTCTGCTGGGGAGGAAGCATCAAACACAAAGATGAAAGACGTCTTAACAAACTGGTGAAAAAGGCTGGCTCTGTGGTTGGACTCAAGCTGGACTCAGTGGAGGATGTGGTGGAGAGATCTACACTGAGGAAGGTGGAGACTATTCTCAAGAAAATGGCTCACCCACCTCACAACACCTTGATGGACCAAAGGGCAAATGGTGGTGGACGGCTCCTCTCTCTTTGTTGCAGGACAGAAAGATTTAGAAGATCTTTTGTACCAACAGCCATCAGGCTTTATAACTCTTGTGTAAATAATAGATAACTTTTATAGACATATTATGTGAGACAACAGACAATTGAATTTCCCTTCGGGAATCAATAAAGTTCTTCTTCTTCTTCTTCTTCTTCTTCTTCTTCTTCTTCTTCTCTCATATGAGCACAGATGGATTTGGTGTGTGTAATGTTAGACCCACTAGTAAGACAAACACCCTTTCCACAAATAAAGGCACTCACATAAAGTTGCATACATTCAAACCTCACGTGACAAAGGTGGGTTGTGCGCAGAGATCACAACATAAATTCCAAAAATGGCATTAAAATCGGAACCATCTGTGCATAAATGATGCATCACGCTCTGTGGCCTGACTCTTTCTTTCATAGATGTTGGCATATAAAATAAATTTGGCTCACAAAACTAAATATTCTAATATCCGTATGTAGGCTTTAAGAAAATAACTCATCTGATCACTGAAACAAATCATTTGATCATCCGCCGTAGCAGCAGCTGCAGCAGGACAGGGAGAGGACACAGAGACATGTCCAGGTTGAGCTGTGCGAGAAATAAGAGGAAGAGCAAGAAAGACTAGGGCCCCATTGGGGCACTGGCGGGCCCGAGCCGCGTCGCGCCGCCCCCAGTGCGACCGCCTCCCTGATCCATTAGGTTTAAATAGAAAAAGCATTAAAATATGTTAGGATTATAGCATATGACAAATGTGTGCCTCTCAGTGGCCATAACTACTTTGTCTGCTGGCTCTGCAGTCGATTGACGCTCCCCAGCGTTCAAGTCACATGACAAATTTAACCGGATGTAGCTGCAAGACGGAGCCTCGTTGACTCTCTGTTTCAACTTATCTCCAAAGTGAGGACCTTAAACTATATACCAGTTTTTAAATTGTGTTGATAGGCCAAATAAAACCAGAGTTATGATAAATTATGTCTGCGATACTTTTTTTCTGCTTATTTTGATCACGTTTGGCGCTCGATCGCGCTGTATGAGACAGGAAAACATAGCATGCAGACATTAGCGACAGCTCTTACAGGCGGAAAAAAAAGCATGGATTGTCTTTGGTGGGGTGAGAAAAAAAAAAACACACCACAACATCTCTCCTATTGGTGGAAAACTTCACCACAACAACCAATCCAAAATTATATGGTGACTGATTGACAAGGGGCGGGCGCTTACGTTCTTCCTGCAACATGAGAAGGGATGGAGGGACTCTCAGCAGGGATGCAGTCTGGGACACGTAGTTGCAAACCTAGCGACTTTGTTGTTAGATTCAATGACTTTTCAGACCCCCTAACGACTTTTTTTTAGAAAGAAAGGGACTTTTATCGACTTCTTCTGGAGTTTAGAGACTCTGACATGAAGCAGGCTTTCCTTACTGAGGAGTTAGCAACGCTGCTAAGGGTGCAGAGCCACACATGCGCTCTGAGCTCTGCATGGGAGACTGAAGCTGACAGAGCTGCAGCAGTTAGCAGGTTTCACCCTCAGAGACCACCAGGGGTTCATGTTGAGGCATTTTCAGTTTGTTTTATTGTTTTTTTGCCATAGACACTGTCAGCACAATCTGCAGTTACACTAACAAAAATGCTGGACAAAACAAAGAATTATGGAAAAATTACACATGGACTAACATAGAGGAGGATCTACACAAGTTTTTTACATCATGTTTTACATCATGCATCATTTACATCATGTTTTTTTTGTAGTGGCATAAATAAAAAGTGACATTTGTGAGACTATACAGTGTTTTGTAAATAATTTTACAAAGAACGCCTGGGCCATTGCCTGCATTTTGATGTCAATAGAGGTAAATTACTATGTTCTTTGTTAAAAATTTGCATATGTTTTGAAGTTTACAATTTTTATTTGAAGTTTAAGTTTTAAAAACAGTTCATCACACATATTTGTGGTTTTCACAGTAAAAATGTTACTTTTTTCCACTCGGATATTATGTTTTGTGTGTGAATTTGGGTCCATTGTGTAAAAACAGTATGTGAAAATGATAAAATAACTGTAAATTCACACAGGTGAGGTTGTGCTGAAAAAAATGATACCAGGCAAGGCAAGGTAAAAAATTTTTAAGAGGAAATATAAAGGTAAAATCTAAAGTAGTCAAAAACGGCCAATAGTGACTCCCAGTCTCCATAGACAAGTCCCTTTGGCGCCACTCAGTGTGCAAAACTACTTTGTCTGCTGTAATGTATATTTGGGTCATCTTTGGCGCCCCCTAGAATGTAAACCGTGGGGTGCAGCGTCATGATTTTTACAACTTTGAATGGCCATGGGTTGTAGATTAGCCTGAGCAAATTTGGTGTCATTGGGACGAAAGCCTTAGGAGGAGTTAGCCACATTCCAATGTGTGCGGATCGGCAAAAAATGCAAAATAGCCCTTTTACCTTATATTATACACATACGCGCTCTATGACTTTTTCGTAGATCTTATTGAGATACACGTGATTGTCAAATTTTGTGTCAATATGACAAAGCGTTCAGGCGTGACACTCATCAATGTGTATTTTAATGTTAGGGGACAAGAAAAAATGGACTTTTTTCTCCTGCCATGGGGGGGCGCTCTTTTGGGGAGTAAAAATTCCTTCACAAATGTGTTGATGGCTGGACATTGCATCATCCTAGAGAACTTGGAGGCCAGTGAGGAAAAAAATAAAAAGTTATAAGACTTTTAAGAATGTGGATTTTTGGGTTATCTTTGGCGCCCCCTAGAACCTAAACCGTGGGGTGCAGCGTCATGATTTGTACAACTTTTAATGGCCATGGGGTGTAGATTGACCTGAGCAAATTTGGTGTCATTGGGACGAAAGCCTTAGGAGGAGTTAGCCACATTCCAATGTGTGCGGATCGGCAAAAAATGCGAAATAGCCCTTTAACCGTACATTATACAGATACGCGCTCTTTGACTTTTTCGTAGATCTTATTGAGATACACGTGATTGTCAAATTTTGTGTCAATATGA